TTCTTAAGTCTTAATAACATTATTTTATAAATATAGGTATCTACTAAAGAGATTTTCATACTGGAAAACTGCAAATATTTCACCCAACACAAAAAAAAAATTGATAAATAAAGAAAATTTCAATGAATTTGTGTATTATTTTTAATAACAACCCTACTTTATCCAATGCTTGACCCTGTGCTTTGTTTATTGTCATACCAAAATTCTTATCGGAAATTGACGTCTTGTAAATGAAAAAAGAAGTACGCTTGGGTAAAATCAATTCTTTTTTTTTATTATTTAATATGTTTATTGTTTCAATACACTAAGTATTATTACAATCTCTCCAAATGAATTCTATAGGCAATATACAAAACGCTGACCAGTTCCTTCACTAGTTATGGATTCCAAGTCTAAAGAATAGTCGTACATATTTCGTACAATAAATCTTGTACCGTTCATTAGATTGGACATTACATTTAAATTTCTCAAGAGTATACCATCACTATAGTTCTTTGTGTTAGTGCCAAACTGTACGGAGGTAAACCACTTAAATTTAAAATATCTGAAAACTCTGTAGGAAATACAAAATTGTGAATAGAAAGTATGTTCAAACTTTAAAAATCGACATAGAAAATCTGAAGAGAAAAAAGTTTTCCATCCTTATTGCGATGTATGTATTGACTATTTGTACGCAAAACATAATCATTTCTAAGCTCTCCCTTGATTCCCAGAGATGGCCAAAAACACTTCGAAGGGATGGCTCATGGCTAGCGTCACGGTTTTTGATATATCTGAGCTCCTCCGGTCATATTAATTTTCGGAATTCTGTACCACTTTGTATCAATTCATACACATAAAGTACTAAAGAATGGAATAAAAAAATATAATATCCAATATTTTGGAAATGAGGGGGATCTGATGTGACGACTTGAAGTCTTATCCACTGAATAGATCTATGATTAATCGGTATGCGTAATGGTATGATCATGATAGCCTACAACTAATTATAGTTGTAAATTATAATTATATAATGTGTACTGTGTTCCTATAAATTGTAATCTTCTATCTCCTATGGTTGTACTCACATTAATGATTATTATTTACCACGCACACAATCAGACGTAAAACGTCTTCTTATTGCCTACATTGAACTCCTTAAATATGAATGTTTGAAAATCGGACTAATAAAAATATATTTGTTATACCAAGTTTGCATAATACGCATAGCAGGTTTGAAATACGATAAATGTGTTGGGAAATATTTTGAGTATTTACTAAGCTGCAGCATCGAATCTCCCCATATTTACACCTATGCCAACATACGAACTTTAACAATTTAAATCAAAATATGCCTTCAATATGCGCAAGCCAGTGAAATTAGACTTGCTATGATAATATTATAATTAACTGCGGTAAAGTGTAATAATATCACAGATAATATCGAAAATCCATCTGTAATTTTAGAACAATTTTATATAATATTATATATTTATATTATTCGATCCATCTGTAATTTTAGAACAATCTTATATAATATTATATTGTATAATACTAGCTGATCCCATGCACTTTGTTTCCCGTTAAATGTACCAACTCTATATGACTTAAACTTTGTTCAATTCGTTATTTAATATTCTATTCTAGAATCCTGAAAAAAATAATGAATTGAAAATTAAAAATTAAACAATAGTAGGTAACATTTTGTGAATATTTAGTGTATCTTCGGTTATTTTAGATATACACCAAAAAAAAAATTGATTTTGTTGAAAATAGGTTTTGCGTAAAAATCTTGTTTTTCCCTACAATATTGATAACTACTGGGAACTTTTTACTTTTGAACTCCCAAGGTACCAACTAGATTTATTTTCCTACAAAAAAAAGAAAAAAAAGGAGAAAACAAAGCATTTTCACTGCCATAAAAGGTGATGATAGTCCCCCAAAAAAAGTAAAAAAAATATACAACTGTGTTACTCGCTCAGAATCTAAAAAAAATTAAATGATAATTATTTTGTCAATCATGCTTTAGAGAACACTAATGAATATTAACTGTAAGTTAAAAAGTAAAACGAATTGCGTCTCGGGCGTACCTAATTCATTTAAAAAAGTACGTTTACCCAACTTTTGGTTGGTATGCTATTGGTGTGGACCCAAATATTTGTCATTAATCAATTATATAATTGTTGTAAGATTTATGAAGTTCAACGGAAACCGTATTAACCTACCCATCTTATATCTAAATGAAGAAAATATAAATAAATATATGTATAATTATTGAATAAGACATTCATTTTATGTAGGGAGCTTACGAAAAAAGTTGCTCAGAGATTTGAAATTATTATGTTTGTAATATGGAAATGTAATACAAGATCTTCATTAGTAGTTCATACTATTACCAAAAAATAAGGCAAAAATGCCAAGTGTATCAATACAATTTTTTTTTTATAGACATTTTAATTTTTAACTTGTAAAAATTAGATATTAAATGAAGAATTTTATAATATATTAAACTTAAACGTATAACCATGGGATATACTATAGTATTACATACTTTTATTGTTTACCTGCTTAATATTATTATATTAAAAAGTTACTGAGTATTATCTCAAGACATAATTAAATATTGTTAATATTTATTGTCGATAAAAAGGAGACGCTTTACAATAATAATTGCGATGTCTTATTCTTATACCTGATTGTATGGTACCAATATATCACAAGGATATATGGAATATAAGGTTCGTCAACATGAGATGTAAATCGACGATTCGGCACTCATTATTCATATTATACCTAGAATTTAAATTGTAGATATATATAATATATTACATTAGATAAAATATAAAAATTGTTCTATTCCTTAAAAATTATTTACGTTAAATATATTACATTGTATTCTTCTCTGTCTGTGCTTCATATAATTCACGTATAATGATGTCATTAATAATTCAATTTGACATATTATCACCTCAAATAAGAGTCGTCATTTTTAAAAGCAGACTCTTAATAGCGTTTTGTTCGCATTTTAAACTTAATTATCAAAACATTATCAATTTTCAACGATTGAATGTAGATAGATAATATTTTATTATGTTTAATTACTTGAATTATGATAGAGAGGTTTGCAAAGACAACAATACGCGATAAAGAGCTTGTTTTTAAAAATTACGATTCTTTTAATACTTTAACTATTATGTCAAATTGAACTCGATGAACGTATAATTTGTAATACTAATACACACGTATATTATTAAATTATATAAGGCATTTCTATTCCTAGTAAGTTTTAAACTTTAAACTTATAAACTGTCAAAACATTTTTATAATCTTAAATTTTCTCAAATCATATATAAATACGAGAAACAAAAATGGGAATAGAAACAATATTTGAAAAGAGTAAAGTATGTATTATTCAGTGTATAACCTATCTGTTCGTAAACGGAAAATGTGTAAAGTCGATGAAAAAGAGAAATATTTTACTCTATAATATCATAGTATATTTTACATATACTTACTATTTTATGATATAGGTATTAGGTTTATAGGTACCTACGATCAATATTATTGTAATATTTGATGCTATTTTACAGGTGAAATTTGTATTCGGACTATTGGACTTCAATCGTCTATAATCGACAGAAGGGCGTAAGTTATGGTTAATTTGAATCGTCGATTAAATATTATCGTAGTTTATAAATGTTATCGTACCTTACCTATATTTACCTATGTATAATCAATAAATGTAATATATACATAAAATATTTAACATTTCTTCGAATTAATTTGTTTACACTCGGTAAATCGAAAACCTCTATAAATCGAATGCTTAACTCGGTCCCCTGAATTTCGAATTATCAAGTGACTATACTGTATTATAGATAATAATATATATTATATCTTATTAAATTACTAGCTACCTGTGTAACTCGTTGACGGTGAGTACCTACCGATTACGCAGGTCTAGTCGTTTGCATTATATAAGTCACGCCTATAAGTTTCGCACGTCTATGGTAGATCAAAATTCGAAATTTTGAAGCGGCGATAAGTAAAACGTAGGTGATGAGGTTTGTTACAAGGCTAGGCGATTTGGCAGTATCGTTTAGAAGGAGGGAGTGTTTGAACTTTGAAAGTCAAGTTTGAATGTCCATAGTATAATGTCTCATGACCCATGTAAATCGGTAATTTAAAGCACTTGATACGGTCCCCCGGTGTACGCCAGGTGCTGTTTTGTATATATAAAAATATGTAACACCTATGGCTGTGTAGGAGTGTCTAACAAGTAACAAGTCAGTCATCACTCATGGTGTAAGTATTCCGCACACTAGTTTTGTGATCCGCGTGTGTCAATGCTCGTAATAGTTATTTTAATTTTAACATTACACAATTGGGAAATAACGTATGCGATAAGCACCTATTGATAAAAAATAAAAAAATATTTTCCCGGTGAATTTCATAAAACGATAATTAAAACTAAAGTAGCAAAAAAACAATCAGTAAAATTTAAATTACAAATAGTCTATGAATCACTTACCAGTTACCATTATACGATAGTAAGACAAATAAATGTAGTAATTTTCTCAAACGATTACATTCCACAGAGTTTTTTCAATCATTAATCTAATCGGTAGTAAATTAGCTTTTAGTTGCTTATGCATATGATAGGGTATGTAATAATATTTCATATTTACAAAACTGTTCGTAACACAGTTTTATTTATCTCACTAAATTCCGATTTCAAGATGTCATTAAACCTAGGTGTGACGCACAACGAAGGAATCAAGGAAATATTAAATATTAAACATTTTTTATTTTTAGTGGAGTAAACACATTCGTTAAATAATATTAGTTACTACAAACGAAAACGTAATAATAATAAAGTTTGGTACAATACATTTGACAATATTATTATTATATATATAACTTTTTTTTATTATTCGTCATCGGTTATTTTAAACATACATTATATTTTTACTGTCGGTGAATTGAATTAATTTCGATATTCAATTCGACGGAACAAAATATCAAATATAGCTATTGTAGTTATAATAATTATTATTAATTCGGGAACAACAACACAAAATCATGAAGTTGTAGTTGCTGCACAGGTCCTTCATTAAATGTGGGCATTTCAAATCCTTAACACACAATACCGGAACGTCATCTGAAATAGAAAAAAAACATTAAATATTATTTATTACTCATCATTGTCATTAAACTACTAAATATAACTATTTTACAATATTAAACTAAAAGTAGTTTAAAACTTTTTGTTTGGTCAGTTTTTAGTTATTTATAGGAGGTTTCATAGTAATTAAAATAGTTGGACCATTCTCAGGATATTTCATATCAAATATTTTGAAAAATGTTCGACTCTTTAATTTTTATTTCTTATAAAATAATAAAAACAATACATTTTTTTATTGCTAAAATTACTTAAATGGTATAGATAAAATATTATACAAATAGGTACAAATATCTAGCATAACTCTGGTAAACTTTCTTATCATAGAGTAAGAGTACTTATATCCGTCACTTATTATAGTAATAGAAATTAGAATATCTAGGGAATTTCCGAACCCAGAAACAATAGTAAAAAAGGTGGGTAAGTGGATGTCGCTCTGCTGTACTGTAGGTTACAAGTGGGTCATGGTATAATGGATGGTATTAAATTTGAATTCAATGATATAATATCATTGTATAAGAAAAACGATTCTGAGTGGAGACGGTATGTCAATCTAGGTATAAGACATATACTTATCGATGGTATTAAAAAAAAAATTGACCTATAATAGATACCTATAATAAATTCTAAATTAATCATATCACAATATCCATTAGGTATCATATATCCCCGAATACTATTTTTAAATTACAACGAAAAACCAAGATCGTTAATATTGATTTTAATATGTAATTTCGTCCAAATTTGGATTTAAAATGTCTGTAAAAATTAACTGTGTTCATATATTTTTTTAGATTTTTTGGTTACAGTATGAATTATTTAAGAGAATCTTTGTTTTAAATTTTCAACTCTTAGTTATAAAAACTGAACATTTTATAATTTTTTAATTCCAACGATTGATAATTTTCGAGATTTTGATAAATTTTGTCAAAATTCCAACTTTAAATGCTTATAAAAAAAAATCGTGCCTATGTATTTTTAATATTTTTCAACTGATATTGTAACAATATATCAGGAGCCTTGTATTAAATTTTTACACTTTTTGGCCCAACAGATAAAACTTTATTGATATTTATAGAAAAAAAAAAACTAAAAAAAATTGAAAGATGTAAATGTCCATAAACAGCTCAAAAAGAGCCAAAATATTTTCAAAATTGTATGGTGTATAGAAAATGCTAATTTAAACATTCAGTAAAGTTTTCATGTATCTGCAGTGGTTCGTTTTTGAATTGCAACAAAATAAAGAAATCGCTACATGAGTAATCGAGTGAATATCCAATGTTGTAAAAATTTGAATTTCAAACGCTCATAAAAATTTAATTTGTCTGTCCGGTAGAGATTTTTTTATTGATAAAGGTAGATAATCTTATAAGGAATCTTGTGTTTCATTTTCAAATCTTAGATTTAAAAAGAAAAATTTTTACGAATTCTTAACTCAAAATAATTTGCTAATTTTCGTGATTTTTCCATATTTTGTAAATTTTTGAACTTTAAATGCTTATAAAAAAAAATTGTGACTAAGGATTTTTAATATTTTTCATCTGCCTTTGAAACAACATATTAGGAGCCTTCTATTAAATTTTCAAGCTTTCGCAACCAACAAATAAAATTTTATTGATATTTTTAGAAAAAAAACTAAAAAAAAATGGAAAATGAAAATGTCCCTAAACAGTTCAAAATAAATCAAAATATTTTGAAAATGTTATCGTGTATAGAAAATGCAAATATAAACAACCAGTGAAAATTTCATGTATATACGTTCATTTGTTTTAGAGTTACACCAATAACCAAAATCGATTTTTTGGAAAACCAATTTTGCGTAAAAATTCCGGTTTTTCCTTAATTTTTATGTTGTTTTTCCCGGCGCTTGTGAAAACTACTGGGAAATTTATACTTTTGACCCCCCAAAGTACCAACTAGATTCACTTTCCTATCAGAAAAGCTACTGATGAAGAAAATCCAAGCACTTTTACTGTCCTAAAACGTGATGACAGACACAAAAATAAAAAAATATAAAAATAAAAAAATATAAAAACATACATCATTGTAAAACCAATACATTCATCGCTCCGCTCAGAATATAAAATCTGAGTATCATTAATTATGATGATACACAGTCTGGGTTCATACAACTTCCGGTGTTATTATTATATGATACTCAAAGCATTCGTGTCAAGATCAGTGAAATTTGTAATAAATATTAATTAATAAAGTTATAAGGTCGGTACATATATTATTATTATAATTAAGCCTAAAAGTTGTTTTTTATTTACAAAGTCATACAGTTCATCGATGTCATATTTTCTTATATTGATTGTTTTGGATTTTTCTTTTTTTTGATCATTAGATATCATAATTAAACATAAACGAATTTTAATTTTTAAACTGTTCATATGTTCTAAATTTTCTAAATAAGATTCACCTGTATTTTATTAATCTTTCATCAATATAAACGTTGTTTTTTTTAGGCCAATTATTAAGAATATTATTGGCTGTAAGTTTAGATATTTTACTGTTGTAGATAAGGTTTCTTCTCATATCAATGGTTTCAAGTTGGGCAACAATAATGCTCCTAGATGAGTTATTTATGTATAATCTGGTTGCCACTATAACCTTGATTTTCGTATTGGTTTTTAAACCAATTTTTTTTACGATTTCTGGTAAGTTTTCATTCTCAGTTGGGGGTATTCCGGTTATATAAACAAAATGTCTAAAATTTATTTGTTCTATAATATTGCTTTTATGTTTAATAATCGAAATTTCATTTAATAAATATTTATTTTCGTTATAAATGTTTTTATTTTCGGTCTTCAAAGTTTTTATTTCCATTTTCATCGAATTCACTTCTTTATCAAAGTCATCAAATTGCGTATCAATAAAATCAACATAGCGGTTTAGTTCATTCGTTGTGTCTATGTTTGTTGATAGTTGCTTTTTGAGTAACATCTTTTCAGCTTGTTCACAATTGCAACATGCAAACTTTCCTTTGTTGATCTTGGACATTTTCTTGTGATTTCTTTCTTAGATGCCTAATACAGTAAAAAATTTACGTTTTTTTACACATACACAGCAATCAAATGTGTCTGCATTGAGAACTAATTTAGAACACAATGCAGTATTCACAATAGTTTTGCGTTATCAGTCAACGAAAAAGGGCGAAGAAAAAATAAGATTAAGGGGGCTCCAGTCGGTCGTTTAAGGAAATTAATATAAGCAATTTAAATTATGACAGTAAAATTACTTGTAAGTGTGTGCAAAGAAACGAACATTAGTATGTGTGAGTTTAATTTGCAATCGTTTTCCGTCAATATTTCCTAGAAATGTTCTGAATTATAAAAGTAGCATACTACCACCCAGTATAGGTTGGTTGTTATTTATATCCACCTTCAATAATTAACTTAGATACGCGCAGAGATTGGCAATGATATTAAACTAGATCAACTTTTTTCAATTTAAAAAGTGGTTTTTTGGACCAAAAAGCCAAATAAAACTGAAGGAATTTGGTTTGATGAATTTCAATTTTTAAAACCGATATTCATTAATTACCAAGTTAACTAGGTTTTGGCCCCGGTGATTTTGAATATCTATTTTTTCAGCTGTGATATCCATGGATAAAAATATGAAATTTTCGTATTATTAATATTATTCATTATGACACTAACAGTAATTGGAATATTAAAAACCACCACTGGTCAAACCTAGTAAACTTGTTAATCAATCATAATCCATTTTCAAAATTAAAATCGAACTGGATCCCCCTTAAAGAATTGAAATAATCAACTGTATCGAACAACGTTTAGATACGTACTTTAAACTCATCATGATCGATAACATAAGGTATAACTTACTAATCTAAGAGCTGAACTATTACGCAAAATCGATTGTTTTTGCTAATAATGCCGATACTATAATAAGTTTATCTATAATATATACCCGGTGGACGGTCACTCATTATTATAATATTATAAAATATTTGGTTTTTAAATCGTTGAAAACACCTTATTCTCAACCGTCGTTTAATTGTATCTGGCGTAATAAAAATACCTACTACTTAGTATTTTCTTAAGTGCAGTTTTTCATTATTTTATAGTAATGGTGTTTTTATGATTGAATTATTTACCGAAACGTTTGTCAAAATAACTTTATCGTCATCGGGCTCAATATTATATTATATTTTAATAATCGAAAACACAGTTTACCGCCCTAGTATGCTGCAATTCAAACAACACGTTTGTATCTTGTGTCGTGTGATCAGCTGTGCTGATAGTCAACGAGGCTGCTGTTGTTCCGTGAACACGAGTTTATTACCGATCACAACAAAATGGCGTATTCCATTCAGGTGATTTCGTAAATATATTTTTTTACCTAATATTATAACCTACCCACATATCAAAAATAATAATATAAAACTATAAATTACTTAAGTACATTTTCTCCCCGAATTTTGAACATTTTCATATTGAAACATTATAACACTGTTACATGGCATATAGAAATAATAATTTAATGATTTAATCGATTATTTATGAAAGGGCTTAGGTTCAAAAATTAAAACTTTAGGAAAATTTAAAAAACTGTCAACCCCGAACGAATTATCGCAGACACACCACAAAGATTATTGTAGTAATGTAGTCAATATAATTTACTTTATAGCCACTCAAAACAATAATATAAAACATGATATCACCTGACAATTATTAACAAATCAATAACTATGGGACCTAGGTAAAACGGTTTTTAATGTTGATTCATTAACAAGATTATTGTGTTTTAATCAAAGTGGTTTTTAATATACTCAAAATTATTTATGTAGAAATAAAAATAATAATGTTTCGTCCTTTGATAATTTAGATAAAAATACAAAATAAAAAAAGTTTCCTGGGTTAAAGTATCGTAAACTTGTGTAATGAATAGTAATCTGTTTCCAAAATAAAACCCATTAAACTGAATTACTACAGTTTTGTAAGGCGATTATGACTCTAAAGTCTAAATAGATAGATAAGTATACCTCCTTTTTAATTTTTAAGCTGTGGCAAAAATGTATTGAATAAAATAACATGACATTTCAATTTTTAAACAGAAAAATTTACACATGATAATAATATTATATTAGTGTACTATTGTAGTATTATAGTATCAATACTATTTTAAGTTCATAGAGACGTCGTCTTTGAACAAGTTCCGATACGACCGTTATAATGCCTATATTTAACCCCTTAAAAATAGTTGCCTAGTAAACAGATAAGTGATATTTTATGCGTAGTTAAAAACATTGTGTAAACGTATGTAAAAATATATTCTGACATTTCAACGCGTCGTTAAAAATGTCCACCTAAAACGCCTAACAACTTTACGATACAAATTACAAAATTATAGGTCGACGTCCTTCAACTTCGTAGTGTAGTACCTACCATGACATACTATTATTTATTAATGTTTACTATTTACTATTGTACCGAGAACGACATTATTATTTAGTTTTTTATTTACCTCCAAAAATGTTGGGACAACCGCAACACGTCCCGTGTATTATCGCTGAATCGTCTTGACACTTCCAGCTAGGACACGCTCTATTCGAGCAGTAATTTACTGAAAACATAATATTACTATCGGTATAATATAAGTCGTTGTAATTATATGGCATGCGTACAACGCAGTTGTAACAGGTGTGACACACAGAGCCCTAGGCCGCAGACTAATATAATTATTAATAGACAAAAGTAATAACGTAATGTATTAAAAGCAGATTATCCTGGTAGGAAAAACAATGTTATTGACAATATTGATCAGATCTTATGTGTAGGCTAACACGGGTTTGGCTTCATAATATCATCTAGATTCAAGGCTGAGTATATTTTAACAAATAAAAAAGTTGGAATTAAGTCACTTTTCAAATAAGTTACATAATAAATCACTCCATTTAAGAGTAATTTTAAATTTCCCTTCCTTGCATACTATGATAGTATAATATAGTATTATATTATAATATCCTAATATAAAGTATGGTATTATAGAATGTACGATTATGCGTTAGGTAGGTACCTCTGTATATATCGTCCATGTGCAAAATGCAACGGTTGTCCTGTTGCATCGCTCTGCCGGTGGCGTTGGACGCGATGGACCACGTGTTGTCGGACAACCCTGATGCGACGACTAGAAAAGTGAACGTGAGAAAAGCACTCAGAACTGCCCCGTTGGACTTCATGGTGGAGAATGAACGGATTTCCTACTAGCGTTGGTGTTTTATATTACAACCAGGTCTGCCCCTCGACTTTCGGCGTAATAACGCGTCTCAGTATAACTAATGCTTATCACAAGCTATGATGTTATTGTTATAACAACGGTTTGACAGTAAAAAATTCGAGAACGCCGATTTTTATGTTGTGAGACGATAACGGCTAAAGCGGAAGAGTTATTCGCGACAGAGCGACCGCACCTCACTTCGCCCTGTAATAGTTTACGATATTGTTAGTAGACGATCAAGAAAAATAAGAAATAAAAGATTATAATATATTATTTTCTTGTTTAATTTGTTCGATAATATTTTAACTATAGCTCTGTTGACGATGACTATGTTAATATAATAATAGTATGTATTCGGTGTATGCCACTTTGATAAGCATGAATTAGAAGCAGTACGTGTTCACGATAATACTATGGAAAACACGCTCAGTATCTCAGCGTAGAGTACGGTTCAATATTTTAAACAGGGTAGGGGACATATGCGAATAAAAAATGGTTTTGGCCAGTGGGGGAAAGACGTGCAAATTTCGGACGTATCATGCATATTATACTATATAATTTTGCAGTATTTCATGTCGGTGAAGAATAAACATGTCTTTAGCCCTAAAAATAATTATTGGTTTCACGCTTAAATCAAAAGCATTCAAAATTTAGATGCTAATATAGTAATATATGTATTATTTTCTAAAAAACAAAGGTAATTAAAATGTCAATGTGGGAGCTATCGAGGACATATGTAATATATTCAAAGTGCCTATAGAAATATATCTGTATAACAGTTTGCCTTGAGAAAACAAATAAATAAAATAATTTATTTTTATAACTTCAATAATAAATTATGTATAACAATCAACAAGTGTAATAAGTAATAACTAATAATATACTTAATAAATACCAATATATTTTCCTATATTAGGCCCCGTAAAATTCGTCTTCTCGATAAAAATAATATTTCACGTGTATTATATTGCGGAATATTTGAATATCTAACTTCAAAAATGCACATAAATTCATGAAAAATAATTTGTGGTTGAAATGGTTGGTTTCAATTAAAAAAAAAAAAGTTGAGCAGCACGCGTGCTTAAAACTTAAGAACAATAAAAATAACCAATAAGTAACATAGTATTGTCCACCCAAAAAAGTAGAACGTCTAGTCAAAAATGTTTAAAATTATAAATTTTTAAGTACGTAACCATAATTTAATTCAATTATTTTCGAATGGAATTTAAGATATCATTGATACATTTGAGGTATTTTTTTTACTTACTATCGTAAAAACATAATAATAGTATTATGACGAATGAAATTTTTGTAAATCCATCGAAATTAAAAGTGTATGATAATGTATCATTATTGGTATATTTTTTTTTTAGTTATATAATATATTATAGCGCATATAATTTTATTTCAATCAAACAAATTTCAAAAATTGTATATCTTTAAATTGTATTATTTAATTTGATTAATTCAACAATTTATATGAGTCATTTGGCGATTATACTTTAAAACTATAGCCGCTTGTCAGTCATATAAATTTACTGTTGCATTATCTATTAACTGCTGACAACAACAGTCATCGACTGAAAGGAATTTCCATTAATATACTCTGAATATAGCACATTTTATATTTTGCAATTTAGACTTCTTGACACAATTGTATTGTATCTAAATGTTGTTGATTTTATTAGATTAGAAATCTTTTCGCATCGATATATCCGTATTAAAAATAAATTATATTAACTACGTCGAGATCCTGCAAATATATTGTAAGTTTGCAACATAACTTTAACTAAACTGAGGACTGGAAGATATTGGATTTTTCAGTAATGGTTCCGGTTCCGGTTCTTGATAAAAATATTTAATCGTTTGGAGCAGTACTTAAAAATAATTGTATGATAACGATCGGTAAAACATTTTTAATTTCTTGCACAGTGGTAGTTATTTACTATACATTTTACTTAAGTTATAAATAGACATGTACTGGGTTAGTATATATTTATAGTGGACATTATACATAATAATTTATGACAAACTTGTGTAGTAGATAAGGTAGCATTCATGAGATATGTGTCCATATATATAGAATTGTCATCATATTAAATTTATATTAAACAGAGTAATCTGCAGTGGCGTATTTATGTGCAGGAACTATAGGCACGTGTCTACAGAGGCATATTTTTAATTGGAAATTTTTTCTTTTCAATATTGATGATATTTTTTTGATTTTTCATATTGACTTGTCACATTAGTTTTCTGTTATTGTAAAATATGTTATTTGTAATCAAATAGAAATACCATGTATACTTAACAGACACCAGTAAAGTATAAAAAATGCTACATTTTACTTACATAGGTGTGAGTGCCATAAATGTTGAAGGCTCTTTTACTATAAATTTAACTTATTTTGCATTTTTTGATTGGAGGATTTTAGATTGAATTTTAAAACAAAAAAAGATAGTTTACCGCGACACTTTGGGCAAAAAAAAATTTTAAATATTTTAATTATAGTGAGGAAACGGGTTGAAAACTGTTTTAACACTTCGTTTCTGTTACTTAGATTATTAGGTAGAAATAACTTATTTTTTCTTTTGCAACCAGGCGCAACTATATATTTAAATAAAAGTCTTAACGTCGATACAAACAAAATCGGAAAAATATGTTAATTTTACTTACATAGGTGTGGGCGACATACCTGTTGAAGGCTTTTTTACTACAAATTCAATTTGTTATATTTTTTGATTGAAGGATTTAAGATCCAACTTCAAAACTAATACAGATAGTTTAAACCATCATTAATAAACACTTTTGGCAAAAAAAAAATTTCAAATATTTAAATTACAGTGGGTCAACGGGTTGAAAACGGTTTTAAAACGACGTTTCTGTTACTTAGATTATTCTGTAGAAGGAGCTTATTCTTTCTGTTGCAAATTGGCGCAACTATATATTTAAATAGCCGTCTAAACGTTGATGCAAAAAAAATTCCTAAAATGTTACTTTTTACTTACATAGGTGTGGGCGACATACCTGTTGAAGGCTTTTTTAGTACAAATTCAATTTGTTATATTTTTTGATTGAAGGATTTGAAATCCAACTTCAAAACTAATACAGATAGTTTAAACCGTCATTGATGAACACTTTTGGCAAAAAAAAATTTCAAATTTTTTAATTATAGTGGGTCAACGGGTTGAAAACGGTTTTAAAACGACGTTTCTGTTACTTAGATTATTCTGTAGAAGGAGCTTATTCTTTCTGTTGCAAATTATCACAACTATATATTTAAATAGCAGTCTAAACGTTGATGCAAAAAAAATTCAGAAAATGTTACTTTTTACTTACATAGGTGTGGGCGACATACCTGTTGAAGGCTTTTTTAGTATAAATTCAATTTGTTATATTTTTTGATTGAAGGATTTGAGATCCAACTTCAAAACTAATACACATAGTTTAAACCGTCATTGATAAACACTTTTGGCAAAAAAAAATTTCAAATATTTTAATTATAGTGGGTCAACGGGTTGAAAACGGTTTTAAAACGACGTTTCTGTTACTTAGATTATTCTGTAGAAGGAGCTTATTCTTTCTGTTGCAAATTATCACAACTATATATTTAAATAGCCGTCTAAACGTTGATGCAAAAAAAATTCGGAAAATGTTACTTTTTACTTACATAGGTGTGGTTGACATACCTGTTGAAGGCTTTTTTACTACAAATTCAATTTGTTATATTTTTTGATTGAAGGATTTCAGATCCAACTTCAAAACTAATACAGATAGTTTAAACCGTCATTGATGAACACTTTTGGCAAAAAAAATTTCAAATATTTTAATTATAGTGGGTCAACGGGTTGAAAACGGTTTTAAAACGACGTTTCTGTTACTTAGATTATTCTGTAGAAGGAGCTTATTCTTTCTGTTGCAAATTATCACAACTATATATTTAAATAGCAGTCTAAACGTTGATGCAAAAAAAATTCAGAAAATGTTACTTTTTACTTACATAGGTGTGGGCGACATACCTGTTGAAGGCTATTTTAGTATAAATTCAATTTGTTATATTTTTTGATTGAAGGATTTGAGATCCAACTTCAAAACTAATACAGATAGTTTAAACCGTCATTGATGAACACCTTTGGCAAAAAAAAATTTCAAATATTTTAATTATAGTGGGTCAACGGGTTGAAAACGGTTTTAAAACGACGTTTCTGTTACTTAGATTATTCTGTAGAAGGAGCTTATTCTTTCTGTTGCAAATTCTCGCAACTATATATTTAAATAGCCGTCTAAACGTTGATGCAAAAAAATTCGGAAAATGTTACTTTTTACTTACATAGGTGTGGTTGACATACCTGTTGAAGGCTTTTTTACTACAAATTCAATTTGTTATATTTTTTGATTGAAGGATTTCAGATCCAACTTCAAAACTAATACAGATAGTTTAAACCGTCATTGATGAACACTTTTGGCAAAAAAAAATTTCAAATATTTAAATTACAGTGGGTCAACGGGTTGAAAACGGTTTTAAAACGACGTTTCTGTTACTTAGATAATTCTGTAGAAGGAGCTTATTCTTTCTGTTGCAAATTGGCGCAACTATATATTTAAATAGCTGTCTAAACGTTGATGCAAAAAAAATTCGGAAAATGTTACTTTTTACTTACATAGGTGTGGGCGACATACCTGTTGAAGGCTTTTTTACTACAAATTCAATTTGTTATATTTTTTGATTGAAGGATTTGAGATCCAACTACAAAACTAATACAGATAGTTTAAACCGTCATTGATGAACACTTTTGGCAAAAAAAAATTTCAAATATTTTAATTATAGTGGGTCAACGGGTTGAAAACGGTTTTAAAACGACGTTTCTGTTACTTAGATTATTCTGTAGAAGGAGCTTATTCTTTCTGTTGCAAATTGGCGCAACTATATATTTAAATAGCCATCTAAACGTTGATGCAAAAAAA